GAGAAAAAAGTCAGAATTGTGAGTTTATAACTCACAGTTCTGACTTTATTTCTCAGAATTGCGACTTCATGCCTCGCAATTGCGAGTTTATATCACGCAATTATGAGAAAAAAAGTCAGAATTGTGAGATAAAAAGTCGCAATTACCTTTTTTATTTTTTATTCAGTGGCGGAAACGGGCTTCCATACAGTAGAGACGTTTACATTCTTACAAAAGATTTCTATTTCAATCAAATGCTGTTCTTTTGAACTTTCTATTCATCACAGAATCCTGAAAAAATGTATCACGGTTTCCACAAAAATATTAATCAGCACAAAACGTTTTTTAACATTGATAATAATGAGAAATGTTTCTTGAACCTCAAATCAGCATATTAAAATGATTTCTAAAGAATCATGTCACACTGATTCATGTGAGACTGGAGTAATGGCTGCGGAGAAATCAGCTTTGCCATCAAAGGAATAAATTGCATTTTTAAATATTTTCAAATAGAAAACAGTTATTTTAAATTGTAATAATATTTCATAATATTACTGTTCTTACTGTATCATTGAATAAATCAAATAAATGCAACCTTGGTGAACATTTAAAAGAGTTCTTTCATTAAAAAAATCTAAACAACCAAAACTTTTGAATGGTAGTATGTATGCATTCTAAAAAAAAGTCTAAAATTAGGGCCCAATGTACTGGAATTTTTCACAAGTGTTTTTTTAATACATTGCATTCTGTTGTGTTTTAGAGTTAAAGACAAAAAACTGAGTATCACAGGTGACCTACCATCCAGCAAACATACGTAATTTGCTCTTCTCATACTTGCCTGATCAAACTTGCCCAGGTTGGCTGACATCAGACTGATCAGTTGACCTGTGCTGATCTTGTCCAAAACTCGGCTAGAAAGTTTCAAGGTCTAAGGGTCAAGATTAGGAGAAATTCATACACTTAATATACTGTTATTTTAATATACTGTCATTTTATTATATATTTTCTGCTAGTATAGATGGCCCAAATTTTGAGGAATGATATTGGTGTCAGGGACAGATGATAGTAGACAGAGAAAACTAGACACAAACCTTTTTATAGATTATGCTAAACAGTGCGATCCTGATCTGCATGCCCAGGCGGTGCAGCCCAAACATGGCAGGCTGGAGCAGGAGAAAGCGGACAGTGAATAGCAAGCCAAGACCAAAGGCAAGAAAGTAACCATTGGCTCGCTCCGGTTCATGGACCGGGTCAAATGATGCAATTATCCGCCCTAAAAGCTGCGGCTGCACTGTTTTTGTAGCCTCCTGAAAAACCGTAACAGAAGTGGCATCTTCATTTTCAAATTTACAAACTTAGAATTACAATTACAGAAAAAGCTCAATATAAATTGATGTCCAAAGTATGTACATACAATAACAAAAAATGAATCAAGTGAGAAGTGGACGAAAATCTAGCAAGAGGTCAGATGCTGTAAGTTCTTCACTGGGAAAGTTACACTGCGCTGTTACCTGCAGTACACAGCTAGGAATCACACAACTTCATGCCAATGAGCCAACGATATCCAGCCATGCACCAACAAATTAGCAAATATACACTTCATGCGTTTGGACTCTCTTGTACCAAGATGTTGTATTTAGAGATCAACACTCCAATCGAAGAACAAAAAGAAACTACACAGAAACTATCTGGACACTTACGCCTATATATAGGAGGAAGCCAAATAACAGAAAAGGCCGTATGAAGCATCGTGCCAATGCTCGTAGTAGACTGGGCTTTTTCCTTCCAGATGCAACTTCTCTGTCCCATTCTCTGTTTAGGGAAAGAGAGAAAACTGAATGGAACAGTTAAACAGTATCCACCCACCCACAATAAAACGGGTATGGTCCACATTGTTTGGTGCACTCCTATATAACCAAGGTGATTTAGCGAACTTATTAAACAGAGCAAAGAGACCTTGACAAGCATGGGGAAACGGCAGAGACTGCTCCAACCTGTTAATTGAATAAAAAGTTCAAATTCCCAGCAGTACTGCACATTAGAGGAATAACAGAAATGCTCATCATCTATCACTCACCAGGGGCCTGGCACTTTAAAAGGTCGCATTTGATGCCCATTAGCAGGGCACTGGCATGGATGTATTGTGGTTTATGTGAGACATGCCATGGAAGGAACTTTACTGGAATGGGCAGGGTGACATTTAAGGGGGTTGCCTACATTTTATTCTTCTTTTCTCCCTTCTTTTGTCAAAAAACATCATACAAACACCTAAAGGTGTGATATTTGGATCTGGTGAGTAACAGGAGCTTTGAGGACACTGAAAGTCACAATAGAACCCAAGACTGTGAGTCACTTCACTATGTAAATTTGCTCACTTTACAAAAAAATGTGAGTCAAAGTTCTTTCATTCCAGTTCCAGTTACTGAATGGAGGATACATGTGGAAATATATTCAGTAATTAACAACAAAATACAGAGGAAATAACAAAATATATATTATTTTTAAATATGAAATTGTCCTTAATGCTCATGCAAATTAACCTAAATGTAACTGGAAATGCAATAAACACGTTTCATTCATCAGAATGATGGAGTCTTTTCTATATAAATCTATATGAATAAATCAATTTTAAATAACATTTATAAATCACAAATTAAATAATGTGTCAGGAAAAGGTGAGAACTCAAATACTAACTTCTCCAAACGCTCTGCAAGGATGTCTGCAGCATCTTTACTAGGAGCTTGATAAACATCAGATGGCCTCAGTTTCTCCTTAAAACCCTTTCTCATTATGGGGTTTGTCCACCTGTAAACAGTCAGAACAAACGTTGAAAACTTCATTATTGTTATTTCTTTTAATAAAGTGAACTTTAGTTATTTTTTAAGGAGATGTAGCCTACGTGTGGTTATTTTCTAATATATCATTATGCACAGACAGTTCTATAAACGCTGGAGTCAGGGCTGGTGTGCGAATTATTAAAATAACTTGATTTGATGTTGTTCTCGCACAAACATTTTCTTTTAGTCCCTTAAAGACACTTCAAACAAAACATTTGTGATTTTTACGATAATTATGTTATGTAATTCTAAATAGCTGAAGGAAGGCGTTCGAACGGCGCACTGTTGCTATGGTTACCACCTCAGTCGAGTCGAACCCAACTTCTGTTTGTGAAAGTTTACAGTAGCCTGCTGGTTACATTTTAAAATTAAAATTTTAGAACTTTCGAGGTTGTAGAAGCGTTGTTCGAAAACACTGTTAAAAAGTGTTGCCTATACACTTGTAAAGCAATAAAAAGAAAACTTTCTTTAGAGGAGTCTGAGGGTTTGAAATTAAACGTGGCTGTTATTAAAATGTTTCTATTAATATATCAGTCATCAGGTGTAGTTTGTGTAGCCTTCACGTGTGAATAAACTAGAAAACTATCTCTGGTATTTAAACACACTTGTCCTAAAGCACAACATTTTGTTGTTGTTAGTACAAACATGGACACACAAAACATCTAAAACATTTCATGTTGTGGTTGCATCTTACCAGAAGAAGTATTTTGAGAGGTAGTTGGCATCCTCCACAGGTGATCTCTGCATCCTAAAAGTACCCCGGGGGTGACACCGCTTACATCGGGTCTCAGCTTAATGCCTCTCCGCTGAATGAAGGTCTCAGGCGCTGTCCTCCACCGCGCGCACGGTTCAGCGCTGAGATCGTCGATATTCGCTGCCAGTATTTAGATGATGAGGAGAATTTCTCGGGTCTCAAATCGTTAATGAGAAGGAACTCGCTTATAAAGAGCGCGTACTGACAGCAGCGCTGTGATTCAGTGAGAGAAGCGCGCTCTCTCAGCCCCAAATGCCACAGATCCTTTGGGCATGTCATCCTCAAACTGTCAGTCTTTTACAGAGATGCTCACGTGTTGCTTTACAAGAGCAAGTGGCGTGTCATCATCAAAGAAGTCTCGTGGTGTTTGAGAAAGAACGTCAATACTTTTAACACATGAAAGTCAACTGCAGCTATTGTTTAATTTAGCACCTTTCCTGATTTCATAATGCTTGCCAATGGAAAAATAAATGGAAAAAAGAGAAATCTTCATAGTTAAAATGAATGAATGACAAAAGAGATTTAAAGTCTTAATACTGTAAAACAAAATAATAGAAAATAAAAGAGAAGAGCTTGATGTCTAATGAAGAAGAAATATTTTAGATGCTTCACTAGCTATCACTAATAAAATTAGCATATTTGAGACACTGATTTTAATTCCATTGTACAAAAGGTCAGATGTTCTTGCTTCCACTGAAGCACAAAATGCTCTTTTTAATTCTTAAATTATTATGGACAGCCTGATCATTTTTAGACAATCTTGTGGAAACTTGGGCAAATGTAAGTTTATGCAGCTTGAGTGCTGCTAAAGCAAAAGGCATACATGAAAAAAAAAACATATAGGCTATGACTATATTGAAATTCAAGTTTTTTTTTTTTTTAACTTCACTTACATTGTCCCAAACTTTATGATTCAAAATTCCGTAAAACGCCTAGAAGAATTACAGCAGAGTGACATCTAGTCTATTGTATAGGCTACTCCCAGTGCTGCCTTTGTGGAGCCATGTAAATTATATAATTGTTTTGATAAGCCCAATGCTGCAATGAGAAAAATGATCACATGAAGTCTATTCAGTGTTCCAAATCATCTGGCAATTTTGTTTCCACTGAGAAAGTTTTAGGTAAGCGACTACAACATACATGAATTCACAAGAGCAGACTTTAGTAAACTGACAATCTTAACCATACCGATTTGACTATAGGCTGTTAGTTAAACATACTCCTGCAAATGTTGAAGTGAAGTTTATTATGTCTTTAGATAATCTAATTTTTCGCTTTCTAATTTGAATATTTCTGATATACATATATATTATCCATCCTCTAAACTGCTTTGGTCATCATGGGGACACTAGTGTCTTGGGGTGCAGATGTGACAAACACCCTGGTCACATGGCCAGTCTATCACAGGCTCATACTTATAGCCTACATGGCTGTAGCCAGGGTTTGAAAATTAGTGAGGTCTGGGGTGGGGTTAAGAATTGTGTGTTTTGGAGGGATAAACATTGTTAAATTATACCATATTTAATGCATCAAAATTTGTTAATACTTTACTATAGGTTAGGGGTGGATAATTTAATCAGTTGTTTATTATTCATGCAACAACATCAACATTGCTATATAGCCAATAACTTTGTCTAATGTTCTTATGAATGTTTTTAGCATGACTTTGTGAAATTTTAACTAGCTTACTATGAAATAGCATAGACTTCTTCATGGCTATTCATATTTCATTCTGTAACCTACTTCAGGTTCTACAGATCTACTGTTTTTGATAACGTTGATAACGTTTCTGACGGATAATATCTTGATATTTCTTTCAGTGGCGGAGCCAGGATGTTTTTATAGAGGTGGGCAGGGAGGGGCCAGCAACCAGTCTGGGGTGGCACAGAAATCTTCATTATTTCAATATAAAAATGTGTTTGACTATAATGTACTGGACTGTTTTAGTGCCTATAAAACACAACGGAGTACAATTAATTACTACTTAACTGTAATTGAGATATTTGTGAATTAGATCAAGTAGGCTAAACTTCCTATCACATGCTAATTTTTTGACAATTTTTGTATTATTCCTCACCTCCAGGTATTTTAATAAAGGGGCTCACTATAGCTTTATTGCTCATTCAGCTTCTCAAAATTCCCAAATGCTTGCTCTCCAACATTGCATACTCATGGATGAGGCATGCAGATAGTGATAAAAATGTGAAAAAGGCCAGAAATCAACAGTAGACATAAATGCCAGATTATTTTATGCATTTAAATGGTTTCATTTTCGCATATTTTCTGGTATAAGTGCACTGTGCTCACATTTATTTGTGCATTAAATTACAAATAAAAAAATACATATCAGCTTGTGCCTTATATTGTGATCTCGAATGGCAGAATATATTTTAGTACATGCATTTGAGAGACGTTCTTGTGTGCTGCGTATACATGCAGTTTGCAGCTTTAATCGCCTTTTTAGTAATTTCATGACTTAGCTGACGACAGAACTAGGTAGGCCTATGTATGTTCATAGTTCCTTGTGCGGGTTATTTATGATGAAGTGATATAGAGCGTGCGCCACATATTTGCTACCGTTGAAGAGTGTGCGCCTTGAGCACAGTAAAACGGCTGATGGGACAGGAAAGTGTGTTTTACTGACATATAGTCTTACAACATCTCATCAGACCGCAGTTCACAGTTGTTCTGCTGAAGCTCATTTGGCTGCTGTAGCTTTTCTGCGCTCGTTTGACTCGCGCCTGACGCTGAGGTGAAGCTGAATTGCGCGTCTGAAAATTCTCCCGTTTGATGTGGTCAAGGAGATACGGCCAAAAAATAAACCAAAATTATTAAAAATATTTTGCAAATAAGATAAGATAAAGATATCGCTAACCCTAAACTGCAACTTCTTACTTTATTAACTTTCTAAATTGTCAAAATAAGTGTAAAAGACAAGTCCAAAAACGCTTATAATAGCTTAGCAAAGATCTGGCAACACGGAGGCAGCGCGCGCGAGCCCTGCACTCGCTACTACACAGGTAATCAACTCAGGCCTCGTTCACATTCTTGCAAGCTATCTAAACTTAAGGGTGCTTTCACACTAGCACTTTTGGTGCGCACCCGGGTTCGATTGACGTCAGAGTTCGGTTCGTTTGGATGATGTGAACGCTGTCTTCCGAACTCGGGTGCGCACCCGTGAACCGTACCCGAGTCCGCTTAAAAAGGGTGGTCTGGGGGTGGTCTGGGGTACGGTTCATGTGAACTCCGGTACGGTTCGCTGCTGATGTGAACGCAATCGTACCAAATCACGGAAGTGAACCGCTATTAATGACGTATTATTTGATAAAAATGTGTGTTTGTGTTTCACTCAGTTTCCTGACAAGCGTGACTGATGCGCTGCAAACAGAGAGTTGTATATCTAATTTCTGTTCGCCTTCAGCGTTCTTTAGAGCATTTGCAGTACATTCGTAAGGCAGACGTAAGTCCCGTTATGTACCAAAGCTTTGTAAACAAAACGAACAGGTAAAAAACGTAAATATATAAAAGTGCAGAGAGCAATAGGCTTGTTTGAGATGCGCCTCGCCTTGCCTGAAATGTAGGCGAGAGTAGGCGGCTGCAGTGAGGGGAGGAGTGAAATAAGCGCAGTCAAGACGGACAGTTCTGACCTCTCGAAGTGGAACAGATACCAACGAGATCCTTATTTTATTTTCGATATGATACCGATATTTTCAAGCCCAGTATCGCCGATATCAATACCGATACCTCTAAACTAAACTAAACTGATCTTTTAAATTATTAAAAGAATATAATCAGTAAT